ATCTGATTGACTCAGTTTTTTGATACTCAACACCTTTCCAATTCTCAGTTGCCTCTCTCCTCTGATTGGAGGGCTAGAGGGTGGAGGAACAAAGGCCTCCCAATGGCTTCCTTTATAGAAGACTCAGATCAGACCTTTCTAGATAGCTCTCCATTTTCCATCAGAAACTCCCCTCCTGGATGCCCACCAATTGGAGAATGGCTGAACAAGTTGTGGTCTATGAATGTAATGGAATCCTATTGTGCTATAAGAAATGATGAGCAGTCGGACTTCAGAAAAACCTGGAAAGACTTACATGAACTGATGCTGAGTGAAATGAGCAGAACCAGGAGAACATTATACACAGTAACAGCCACATTGTGTGATGATTGATTTTGATAGACTTATCTCTTCTCAGCAATGCAAGGACCTAAGACAACTCCAAAAGACTCATAATGGAAAATGCTGTCCACATCCAGAGAAAGAACTATGGAGTCTGAATGCAGATCGAAGCATATTATTTGCGCTCTCTCGCTGTTTTTGTTTCTTCTTTCTCATTTATTCCACTGGTTCCAATTCTTTACAACACGACTAGTGTGAAAATAGGTTTAATATGAATGTATATGTTGAGCCTATATAAATTTTCATGCTGTCTTGGGGTGCGGGGGAGGAGAAAGGTGGGGAGAAAAATTGGAACTCAAAATCTTATGGAAGTAAATGTTGAAAACTAAAAATAAATTTATTAAAGAAAACTGCCCTCTCCCCTTTCAGTTTCCTTTTTATGTTATCTTCCTCCATTACAGTGTAACATCCCTGAGGACAGGTATAGTCTTTCTTTTTCTTATTTGTATTCTCAATATTTAGCACAGTGCTGGGCACACAGTAGGCACTTAATATTTCTTGAATTGAAATGGAAGGAATTGCTAATTTTCAGTTACAGGTTCATTAAAATAAGATATAATTTTTCCATCCAATTTCATACATCATCCTGAAATCTCTCTACAAACCCCTTGGGGGTCCATGGACCCCAGTTTAAAAACTCCTGCTAAGGGGTCTGAGAAATAACTCATTGGAGTAAAATATCTGCTCGAGCCACCAGATGGTGCTAAAGGCTTGCATGGCTTGAGTTCATTTCCACTATGTCAACATGAGTTCCTAGATTCTTAGGAAACTACTGAGTGTTCTAGATCACAGCCCACCCAGTTTCCTCTCCAAGACCCTTATCTAGGGTATGATATAATCCCATCAAAATTAATAAATCCCTTTGGTTTGCCCCCATTTCCAAAAGATCTTAATCTTTTCCCAGACTTCACATGATCTGGGAAGATTGACCCATTCATGTATAGATTAAAGTGCATTTTGTTAAGAAAAAAATGTGAAAGGCCTGGGCTAAAAACTCATTGCAGCTTGAGTAAGCCACAGCAGCTTATGCAAGCCTGACCATTCCAATGTCCAGCCTTGCTTTCTGCCTCTCTCTATTGTCAACGAGACACGGGCAATCCAAAAGTAACACTTGGTCTCATATTCACAACAGATGGGGGCTGAGAGAGGGAAGGGATCATTTTATCACCATCTCATTCTCCTCGTCCCACCGTATAGCTACTGTTCCTCTGGGCATTGCCTCAGACAAACCAAGGACTGGGAAAGATCTTAATTTAGCAAGGCCAAGGTCATCCATGACATACCAGGTTATTGCCAGTTGTCTTGACTTTTGTTTTGCCACCAGACTTGCAATACTCCGGAGGAGAAAGTGAGGCTGACAACTTTGTGCAGCTCTGCCTCACTTCAATCTAATTCACATAGCAAGTCAAGGAATCACTCTCATGATGTCATTGGTCTTCTTCGAGAAAGAAGGAAGAACAACAAGAACTCTGACACCTGGAACCCCTCTACTCAGTGTCCTAGCCACCTGCTAAGTAACCTACAATTGGCTTTCAACTGGCATGCAGCACTCCTTTCCCCCAGGGATCAGAGGCCACTGGGGATTGTTTGGCCCATTTCCTACTCTCTCATGTCTTTTTTGTGATTAAGATGGTGAGGTAAAGTGGTAGAGGAGGCCAGTAGTCTCTCTTTCTCTCTCTCTCTCTCTCTCTCTCTCTCTCTCTCTCTCTCTCTCTCTCTCTCTCTCACACACACACACACACACACACACACACACACACACATACACTTCAGCAGAAAAAACAGTAACAGAAGCAAATTCCTCAACCCAGGCAAGAACTGCATAAAGAGATGACAGAATGGAGGATGGAAAAGATTATATATCAAAGAGGTTAGCTTGAATCCTGGTAAATGGACCAGAATTATAAGTTCTGAAAAAAAAAATTAAAGAAGCAATGCCAGGAAAAAGTAGTGACTAAAAAAAAAAGAAAGAAAAGGAAAGAAAAGAAAAGAAAACACTGAATACAGTAAATATCATTGGTTAAGAGAGACCTAAAAGGTAATCCAAGATGAACTTCTCAACAATTACAAGCAGAACTTCAGAGAAAATAATGTCTTGGTCACAAGGACTGCAAGAAAGGCTGTAAGAAGAAATAAAAGATGAAAAATTAAATTAGAATTGAAATTAGCTCTCTACAGGACAAAAATTTAGGAGAATAACTTAGAACAAAATCTCCCCCAAGTGATGGACTCCTCAGGGGAAAAAAGAACAGAACAATTTGAAACTCAATGATTTCATGAGACAAGAAATATTCAAAGTCAAAATATTTTAAAAAGAGGAGAAAATGTATGGTATCTACTATTAAAAACAATGAACTGGAATACAAATATAAATCAAGAAGAGTCCATTTAAGTAAAAAACTTGAATACTATATTTCAAGATACAATTAAATAAAATGGCCCAGATTTATTAAAACTGTATGGCAAAGTAAAAATTGAAAGAATCCACTGCATCACCTCCTAAAAGAAACTCTAAACGAAAAACAACAAAGCCTATCATAGCCAAGTTCCAGAGTTTCAAAGTCAAAGAAAAAATAGTATAGCTAGAAAGGAGTTCAACAACTAAGAACCACAGTCAGGATCCAACAAGACTATGTTCTAACTACTTAAAGGGAAGAAAGTCTTGGAATGTAATATTCTAAAAGGCAAAGGATAAAGGATTATAGCCACGAATAACGTGCGCTTCAAAACTCTGTGTAATCTTAAAGAGGGAAAATGAATCTTGGACAGAATAGAAGACTTTCAAGCATTTTTGTTGAAAATACCATGGCTGAGCAGAAACTTTGAAATGTGAATGGTAATTGAGAAGTAATTAGGGCAAAATGATGATGAAGTCCTTACATGCTAATAGTGTGAGAAGAGATAAGTGTCCCATTAGAATCCACCTTTCAATGGTCACCAAGGGAACTGAGAACCACAAACACAGGAACTAGGTATGGTTGTTTTTTTTTTTTTTAGTTTTAAGAAAGGAAAAGAGAAGGGTGGGGAAAAGGAAAGCAGGAAAGAAATGAGGAAGGAAGAAATTCACTATCTGACATAACTGGGGCATGGGAGAAGGATACACAAATATGGAGGAATGGGTGGGGGCATGGGCTTCTCACCATCTTTACTGGCAAAGGAGGCTTAACTATCTACTTCTATTAAACTCATTTGTTGTTGTTACTGAGTTGTTTTCAGTTGTGTCTGACTCTTCCTGACCCCATTTGGGGTTGTCTTGGCAGAGATACTGGAATGATTTGCCTTTTCCTTCTCCAGCTCATTTTACAGATGAGGAAATTCAGGCAAACAGGCTCACAACAACAACATTTATTAAATTAAAGGTTGGGCAAAAAGAAGCCTGGGCTCACAGCTACTATTCTTTAGGATCAGGTAGCAAGGCTATGATGGCTCACCTGAAAATGTGGCTACTCTTGAGTGGATATCACCTTTTTCAAATGACTCTCCCTTTTAAAGTCTAAGAAAACTAGATTAATGAACAAATAAGAAACTAAGGATAGCATGGGATTCCACCAGTGACCACAGACAGATAGACTCTGCTCCCTGCTTTTAACATAGGAAGTAGCTGGCCTTCAGTACCAGTCCACTTTGAACGCTATTTCTATCAATCTGCCCTAGTGTTTCTCTTCACCCCAGTTCTAATCCTTCAATATTTCTGTCTTAGCTCCCCTTTACTTTGGTCAATAGACATTTATTCAAACAGCAAGCATTTACTGAGTTTTACAGTGTGCAAAGCACCGTGTTAAGTAAGCACTGGGCTCTGTCCTAGGTTTTAGAGAGGGACAGGAATATAGGGTGTAATTCAAAGTTTTAATATGTGTTCAATCTCTTCCCAAATCTGTGTTTCTTTGAACGACTTTTTTCCCACACCTGGAATGCACTCCTTCCACAGAGATAGGATGTAGAGTGGCAAGTTCTGGGAATAGCAAGTAGAGCCATGTGGTTGAAATGTAGGTAAATGAAGGGGAATTCCCAATTTGGGGACCCTCCCCTCTCACCTCCCTTTTATGGGTTGTGTTTCTTTGTTAGAATGTAAGCTCCTTGAGCCACAGGGGATTTTTTTTGCGTGTATTTCTATCCCCAGTGCTTAGCACAGTCCCTGGCACCTAGTAATTTCAACCCCCTCACTTGACAGATAAGGAAACTGAGGCACGGGAAGGTTAAGTGATTTACATGGGATCTTTGCATCTCCAGACCTTAGTACCCCTGGCACGCAGGAAACGCTTAATAAATGCCTTTTGAATGACTGAGTGGACTCCCTCTACTCGGAGAAGAAGGGAAGCAAACAGCCAGCGGTCCGTCCTGGACATTGGCCAGCCACTAATCCTCGCCTAGGATTCAGAGCTGGAAGGGCTCTCAGAGGTCATCTCATCCAGTCCAGCTCCTCATTTAGCAGATGAGGAAACTGAGACCCTGAGAAACGATTTGCCCAAGTGTATGATCAGTCTTTAATAGAAAGAGACCTGGATACCAAAGGAGGAGCAGGAGACCGCTAGCCGAGGGTCTCCCTCCTCCAGAGACATCATTTCAGGAAAACGCTTTTCCGCCATACCCCTCCCCGAGCCCGAGTTTAAAAAAAAAAAACTACAACTCCCACAGTGCCCCGCGGCGGGCCCAAAGCCGCGCACGCGCGGCCAGCTGAGCTCCTCCCCTTGCAGAGAGCTGCGAGGCGGCCGAGCCTAGCTGTGTTGCCTCCTGTGACCGCCCCCTCGGCCCCGGGGCTAAGTCGTGGTCCCGCAGCGGGTCGTAGGATGGCGTTGAAGCGGATCCAGAAGGTAAGCCTCCCGCCTTCTCTCGTCCTCAGCGTGAGTCCGTGGACCGAGGAGCGGCGGGCGTCGGCTCCACCGCCGCACGGGGAGCCGCTGCAGGAGGCGGCGCCGCGCGCAGGCGCGGAAAAACTTGTGGCACCTGCCAGATAATGGGGCGGTGCCTCGCGCGCCCGCTGCCTTACAAGGGAACAGCCAGGCGCGGGGCGGGGGCGGGAGCGGGGGCGGAGCCGCGCTGGGGCGTAGCGTCACGGGGCGAGCGGGGGCAGGGCCTGGGCGGAACTAGTGGCGCCTCTGGCCAACCATGTGCTCTTTTGCGTGTTTCCCTTTCTCGTGGCTGGCTGTTGGCGTGGAGGGGCGTGTCCCATTCTCACTTTTCCGCTTGTTCTTGCACCGCCCCGTCTGCCCCGTAACATCCCGAGAAAACAAGCAGTCTCCACGCTCAGCTCCCTGCCCCAGTGCAAGGCACACAGGGGGCGCTTAATTAATGCTTCTAAACCTTCTTCCTTACTTTATGGTCAACGAGATCATAGATCCAGAGCTGGAAAGGACCTTAGCAGCCGAATAATTAGATTAATTTTAAAGATGAAGCTGTGCGTAGATTTGGCTCTGGAAAGGACCTTAGAGCCTGATTCAGGCATACGTCAGGTGGGGAAACTGAGGCCCAGAAGTTAAGTGACTTTCCCAGAGTCACCCAGCCAGAGAGTGGGGGAGCTCAGGTCTTGGGACTCCCGTTCTTTCCATTGAACCACATCACCTCCCTTTGCGTCAGGGTAGCATAGGTTTAGAGCTGGGAAGGAAGGACCTTGGAGGTTATCTGGTCCCATTCCGGTGCCATCAGATGGGGAAACTGAGGCTCAGAGCCCAGGGCGTGCTGCCTGCTGTTTGCAGCTTCCTTTTGGATAGATTTAAGCCCAGTCTTCTTTCCAGGAATCTGCTGGGCTTTCACCACCCACAGTGCCTGAAAAGTTATTTAGACTAAATTTCTATCCTTAGAATTCTGTTCACCCCACATGCTCACAACTTCAGGGGTGCTTTCACGTTTTTGTCTTCGTTAGTGGCTTTAGAGAAGTTTCCCTGCTCTCCCAACCGTAGCTGTAGCAGCCCTTGGTAAATGGTTAATCATCTTCTAGGACCACTGGTAGCATTTAGAGCTGGTCTGAAATTACTTCCCATTTACACTGTGCCTGTCTGGTGTGTATACGTGCAAGTTGTTTTTGTTTACAGTGTTATGCATACAACTGTATACAGTTGTTTTCGAGCTGTGTCCCCTATTAGAAGGTGAGCTACTTTTTGTTTCTCTTTTATGAGTAATGGGCCAAGGTACATTATTAAAGTACTTAACAAATGTTTGTTGACTGACTGGGAGGTTGTCTTAGAGATCATTTAATACTTTGCTGTGCAGTTTCTCATAATTTCTTTGGGATGCTTTTGACAGATACCTTTTTCTTTTTTTGGCCAGGCAATGGGGTTAAGTGACTTGCCCAGGGTCACACACCTAGTAAGTGTCAAGTGTCTGAGGCTGAATTTGAACTCAGGTCCTCCTGACTCCAGGGCCGGTGCTCTATCCACTGCACCACCTAGCTGGCCTCGGCAGATACCTTTGACTATACCCATTTTACCCATAAATTTCAAGTCATTTTGTGCCATTATTTCTTCCCTAAGGCCCGCTTATTAAATTAACCTTGATGAGTTTGTCTTGTTTCCATCTCAGGCCGGGCGTGCAATCCAACTTTCTGCCGGGTTCCCTCTGTTTTCACGGTGATCTACCCTATAGGTCTTCCAGTGGGTCACGTCAGCCCGCTGGTTCTGCTTCGTCCCCAGATATCTGTGTTTCTGCGTGTGTGTGTTCATGCACTTAAATGCCTATCTGTGTCTTTGTGTGTTCTGTGTGTTTACTTACTGATGTCCTTGTTATACCACTTCATAGCTGTGAATGTCCGTTCTTTGAGGGTAAGGACTGTTGGTCTTTCTTTTTTCTTTTTTTGCTTGTACTAAGGAGGTCATTGAGGCCAACCCTCTTATCTTACAGATGAGGGAACCGAGGTCAAATAATTTGCAGAAAGGCACACGCAGGTCCTCTTGACGCCAAACCTGGTGCCCTTTCTACTGTTCCAGGCATGTGTGTTCAAGTACATACATAAATACTTCTATGTGGGGTTGTATATATGTGTGTGTGTGTGTGTGTGTGTGTGTGTGTGCATGAGAGTATATACACAAAACATTCATGGGTTGGTCCCAGTTCTGTAGCATGAAAGCAGATGTTTTATTATAGACTATGCTCATGCCATAATTATCCAGAGTAACTTTTCTCAGGGTAACTTGTGGAGAAAATAATTATATATAGTAATACAAAGATTTACAGTTGCTTTACTAAGTCACATTCCCTCCTCACAATACACTTTTATGTAATTGCAGTCTTGACTCTTTTACAAACACAAGCCCACAGACGTGATAACATATATATTCCCGTGAAAGACCGGTTTACTTAGATTGGCATCAGTGTGGGCACAGCCATAGAACCAGGCCTAGGCTGCTACTAGGCCCGGTAAGAGAATCACAGAATTTGAGAGTTGGAAGGGAAATCAGTGTCCCAATAACGTAACCTCTACATGAAAGGAAGCCCATTACAAGTGGTCATCTGGCTTCTGCTTGAAGACCTCCCAGGATTCTGTGGTGGCAGCCCCCTGCCCTGCTGGACAGCTCTCGTGGTCAGCTTTCTCTAAAGTCCAGTCTAGATTGACCTCTGCATCTTCCACGCACAGCTGCTGCACCTGTCCTCTTGGGCCAAGTGGAACAAGTCCAATTCTTCCTGTATAGTTTAGCTTTTTGAACACTTGAAGACAGACAGATAGATAGATAAAAAGGATGCATAGATACAGAGAGACAGGAAGGCATAGATATATAGATTTTATACATACATCTCTACGTGCATGATAGATATTAGATAGACATAGGTGATAGAAAGAATTTTTTTTGGAGGCAGTGGGGTAAGTGATTTGCCCAGGATCACACAGTGAACTCAGGTCCTTCTGACTCCAGTGCTGTCTCTACTGCACTACCTAGCTGCCCCTAGACCGTTTATTAAGTGCTTCTTTTGTGCCAAGCACTGGGTATACAAATATAAGTAATCCAGGCAGACCTTGCCCTCGGGGAGTTTTAAGTTTTGTAGTTGAAGATCACACCCTCCAGGGGCATGGTTTGGAGCTGGTGGCCAGGGAGTGAGGGGAGGCTTATTCCAGGTGAGATCGGGTGAAGGCTCCCTCCCCTCTCCGAGTCCAAGGAGGCTCCTGGAGCCCGAGATGGGCACAGCTGGGGTGACAGCTACCATGGAAGTGACATGGTTTGAGCTCACGTGGCTCATGTTCCCCTCGAGTCTTCTTTTCTCCAAGCTGAGTGTGCCCATTTCCTTCAAAGGTTTGCCATATGATACGGATTCAAGGCTCTTTGCCATTGTGACACTTTGTTAACCAGGAGAGGCCGCAGAGTGTGGTAGAAAGAGCATGAGATTTGGAGTCGAGTCCTTCCCCACATCCTCCGGATGTGACCTTCGCTGAGTTAGACCTCCCGTCTGGCCCTCGGGTATGTCATCAGGCACGTGACGGGGACCGGATGGTCTGTAAGGTGCTTCCCAGGTCTGGTTCGAGGCTCTTCTGACCCTGTGTGCTGGAGGTGTTCTCTCGGTGGCTCCATAGCTAAGAGCGGAAGAGGAGCCTTACTTATTCTTCCTGTTGTGATTCCTGGGAACAAGCCATGATTATTTCTGGGACTGCAGTGGGGGCACCCTTGTGGTGATCCCTTTTGTTGGTGCCCAGTGGTGATGGTCATAGCTTCTGTGTGCAGAATGATTCGTTTTCAGAATGATGTTGGCAGGGGCCTAATTGATTGGCTGATATGTTCAGGTATGTAGCATTCCTCTGTTTAGCTAGGTGGTATACACATCCCGTTCCTGCTCAGTACGTGTATTTTCCTTGCATTGTTTTGGGTTGTAAGTGCCCTGAATCCCTTTGTCTCAGAAATAGCCCTTGCCGTACTTTAGCCTCACCTTATGAAGTTCTCTTCAAGTCATCAGAAGAAAATTGTCATATCCATTTTCCTAAACCTGAAGTTGCCATTTTTTCCCAAAGATCAGAACTGGTACCTGTTTTGCTCAGGCCTGGCATTCCAAGATATAGAGATCAAAGGAGCCAGCCCTGTTCCATTGTTTCTTTGTCTGAGAGTTACAGAGACTTAACAAGGTTGCCAAGGCTGCGAAGCAGTTGTCTGGTAGCTTGTCATGATGTGACAGATTGAGCCATATTTTTAAGCACCGCACAAGTCCTGCTGGTGAAGTGGGGACTTTTAGTCATTTTGCCCTAATCACTGGTGGTGATCAGTCCTGCCCCATTCCACTCTTGGCCAGTTCCTTTTCTAACCAAGAGTAAATATTTTCCAGATGGCTGGCCAGGGTTAGGGAGATGGTCTCTGAATGAACTGGTCCTTTCCATTGCCTGATGTTTCTTAGTTCCTAGGGCAGTCTGGGACAATGTCCAATTGGCCTCACCCCTGTTTTGAGATTGAGAAGTGGAAATGTTTTGATTCTGTAAATTTCATTGGCCAATATGATATCCCACCAAGGGACCAGCCCAGTCTTCCCTCTTGGTACAGAGGTGATCCTGAGTTTGCAGAAGTTATGCACGTGGAGTGTGGATAGCCTGGGAAGACTCGCAGTACTTTACTAGGGCTGGGCTTGATATGTGTCTTTCAGAGACTGGCCTTATTGCTAGAGGCTGAGCAAAAAGTGACCTTTTTTTTTCTCTTAGCAACTCAGGAGCAGGTGCCACCATCTACTCCTGGTGCTGTTTGCCTCTGCAGAGGAAGTGCCCACAACTGTGAGATCATAGATCCTTAAACAAGTATTGGTCTCATGACACAGTATTACACACCCATTAAGCCAGAGGCCCCATTGCTACTGCGGTGGCTACCTGATAAATAAATTAGTAATACCCGTAAATGCAGGCAGAAATACA